TCCCAAAGAACGAGCACTGCCTTGTAGCCCCAAAACCTGGTAACCCCGTTCCAGGTCTGCGGCCGCGCTGGTGGCCATGCCGCCTGTGGCGGCAAGAGCCCGCACCAAATCTGTCCCGGTCGGCGCGCTTGACCTGAGGGAATAATCATGGTTGCCTTCAGAGCTGGTGCTAAAACCCGTGGCAAGAGCCCGCAATAGGTCATGAGGCGAGGGGCAACTGGCGCAAAAAGAAGCTGACAGCAGCCGGCAGCCACATGAACGCCGCCAGCAGGCATGCTACCGGATGCTTACTCGGGATCAAACGGAAAAACTGCAAGTCCATTGGCAGGAGCTTTGGCAAGCAGCTCGCCAACTTCAGCGTGGCCACCGCCTCTAGCGGCAAGCCGCCTGGCTCAGCAGCCATGCGCGATCACTCCAAACAGCCAAGATCTCGGCCACGACCATGATCAGCACTAAGGGCGGCTCATGGTGAGTTTTGGCTTAAATGCGCAGCAGTTAAGGGTAAACCCATGAAAAACGTTGAGCCACATTGAGCCACCTCAACATACTTCCCTCACATGCATTGGGCGTCGAGCTCGATCCATCCATCCATCCACGACACACAAAAAAGCCCCCCGCCCAATTGCATTTTTTGAGGGTTGTGCCCTTCAGTCGGCTATATGTCCAAAACCCAGACACGTGAAGCAGACCCAACTCCATCCAGAAGGGAAGGAATGAGCCACCAAGGAATGAACTGCGCATTCTTGACTTTACTCCAGGGTTTATGCGCTAATCGCCGCGTATCCTTTCCTACTGAGGCCACGGATAAATGGCGCGAACCCGCGGAGCTTCTAAAGACCTGACCGGAGCTTGAAGGCACAGAAGGTACTGCTTGGCGAAAGCGGACACCGCATTGGTAGCTTGTCCGCCGACATTGCTCGGCGTGTCGGACACCTAAGAGAGGATAGAGGATAACCCCCCCCCTAACCCCCCCCCACCCGACGTCTGATACGTGGGGGGGAGGGGGGGGCCCCCCCCCCCCAAGGACCGCGCGGCAGTTTGATGACGTTCCACTAAACGTAGTCTTCGGGGACCCGGTGTCGCAAAACAGGGGTCCCAGGCTCGATTCCCCCTGCCGGCTTTTTTGCTGGCTTGGGCTTCCTGCATCCTTTTGCCTGGAAAAACTCTGTGTTTTTGGACATCATCTTTGCGAAAACGCTGGAAAAACAGTGTTTTTTGCGGGAAATACTGGGGAGCAAAGGGGAAGTGCAAGGATACATACATACATACAGACATACATACAGACAGACAGACATACAAACATACATACATACATTACATTACACAACATCACATTACATTGCTTTCAATTACATCGCATTACATACATACATACATACATTACATTACATTACTTTACATTACATTACATTACATTACATTACTTTACATTACATCACATTACATTACATACATACATTACATACATTACATACATTATATTACATTACATTGCATACATGCATACATGCATTACATACATACAAACATACATGCAGGCATGCGTACATACATACCTACCTACCTACCTACCTACCTACATACATACATACATTACATTACATTACATTACATTACATTACATTACATTACATTACATTACATACATTACATTACATTACATTACATTACATTACATTACATTACATTACATTACATTACATTACATTACATTACATACATTACATTACATTACATTACATTACATACATTACATTACATTACATTACATTACATTACATTACATTACATTACATTACATTACATTACATTACATTACATTACATACATTACATTACATTACATTACATACATACATACATACATACATACATACATACATACATACATACATACATACATACATACATACATACATACATACATACATACATACATACATACATACATACATACATACATACATACATACATACATACATACATACATACATACATACATACATACATACATACATACATACATACATACATACATACATTACATTACATTACATTACATACATTACATTACATTACATTACATTACATTACATTACATTACATTACATTACATACATACATACATACATACATACATACATACATACATACATACATACATACATACATACATACGAGAGAGGGAGATTGGGGAGAGAGTGGCTTGGGGGGATGGGGAGGATGGGGAGCGGAGGGAGGGAGAGAGGACGACAGAACACACCAGGGAGACAAGGGAGAGAGGAAGAAGGAGAAAAGGGAGAGGACAATGTCGGCGGACTGAGCCGGAGGCTCTAAAGTTTGGTAGATCACGGAACAAAGAGCCAGACCGAGGAGTCTTCGTCCAACGACAGCACGCGGACACCACATTGGCAGCTTGTTCGGTAGATCACGGAACAAAGAACCAGCATGGAGACACCATGTTCATGCCTTTTTGAAAACGATTCAAAGCACCCCCCCGCAAAAAGTGGACTTCCTTTAATTGCTACACTTGTACTGAAAAGTTGCTTCTGGGCCTGTTTGGACACGGTACAAGCGTGAAAGCTGGCTGTCCTGTTTCGGCAAGACGCAAGGGGACACTGACGGAAACTTCATGACAGGTGTCTGAACGCAGATCTGCGTGCGGGTACCTCATCCGGGCGACTTCACACAAGCCCGGGTGACTTGACACAAGCACCCAGGAAGTACCCTGGGTGTCGTATTTTGGAAACTTCCCTTGTTTTGAGGCTGTTTGCCAAACCCTCAATTTTGACAGGCCACCTGGCATGATCAGGGCTCTGTATCTGAGGTGCTCAGGTAACAGGATGTTCTCAGAAGATAACGCTCGTTTCTTGACCTGGTCGCCTAGGTGGGAGAAACTTCGCCCTGTGTCTCGCCAGCACTCTTCGCGGGCAAAAACTTCGCCGTTCTTGTCGCCCGAAAACTCCGCCGCAGCAGAGAAAAGGCTTCGCCCCAAAACCGCCCCAAACATTGCTGGGCCTTTGCGGCCATCAAAGCAGCAAATCGGAAGGCTGCTTGCGGATACAGCCCTGGGCACAGTTTGTGAGGCTGAGAATGTTCTGAGCAAGGACTGTAATGTTGACTGGACGGCAGCTGGAGTCCAGCCGCGATGGGTCTGCCTGAAGGCTAACCCGCGCGCGCTGATCCCGATAGAACGGTGGTCAATGGAAGCGGCGCTCTAGAGCCCTTAAATCCGCCCAAGGACTCCTCGATGAGCCCACGAATGGCGCATATGGGAAGCACTGCCGTAGAGCTCTTGACTCAAACCTTTGCGTTTCCTGGCTTTGAATCGCAATGAACAAAGAAGCAAATGTAGGAGGAGCTCCTGGAGCTTAACAAGTACTACTGTTGCCAGAAAGGCTCGGACAAACATGGCAATCCTGACCGCGCTTCCCACAAAACTTTAAAAATCCCAGTAAATCCGTTCTGCAGAATGACGGTCATAACAAATGGGGAATCTTCCATGTCCGTTTTGTTTCCGCCCCCTATAAAATTAAGAACATATGTTTAAGACGACAAGGACAATTTCCTTCGGCAAATGGAAGGAATAAGTAACATCCTAGCACTTGTCCACCTGGGATGGTTGATCAATTTGGTAGCTCGTTTCTTGGTTGCTGTTGACCCCCCTGCAAAAAGTTTCACTTTTTGGGGGTTTAGTGGAAAACACCATTATTTCCCAAAAAGTTAAAGTCTAAAGATCCAACCCAATAGCAGTCAAGGTTTTGTCATGTTTACTCCGTGTGAGCTCTGCAAAAGTGTGCCCAACAGAGCCAACCGGGGTGCACCGTGCACAACAAGTTGAGCTTTTGGTGTCAGCACAGATGGGTGTCTTAAAGCAGGTGAAGCCGTTTCGGAAAAGGCTAGCTTCAAAAAATCACACACCCCGTATTGTGTTTTTCTTCTGCAGCCAACAAGTGACAGGAGGCAACACCGAAGACTAGTAAAGACCATTTGGGGGATGGAGGAATTTGGTCGATCGATCCATGCTTGAGGGGCTAAGCTTCAGCGGCCTTAGGAGTTGATGAGGCCAAGACAACCACTGGGACCCAGGGGAAATGGTGCAGAGCACAGCATGTCAGCAAGGCATGTGGAAAAAGCGAAGTCATATGGGTGGCTCGTCCTTTTGGGAGTTCCCCTTTTTTGGTGGTGTTAAAAGGAAACCCAAAGAAACCCCCCAACCTTTTCTTTTCTTTGTCATTTTTTTTTGGGGGGGGTCCCGCTACCGGCTTACACATGACCGCCTAGAAGGAAACCATGAGCCCTCGACATGTTGAGACTACGTCAACACTACTGTGGATGGTTGCGAAATCCGTTCGCACCACCTGAGAAGCCATATTTACATGGGAGTCATCACTCCGGGGTTTCTTAGGTGGTGCGAAATGGAGTTTGTCCATCCAAAGCTTGTCACTATGTCAACACTGTCCCCTAAGTGTCCCCAGGTGTCCCTATGTTACCCTACGGAAAGGCCAGCGTTGCCTATATATATCCCAATGTCACCTCATGTGGCTGCACCATATTTTGGGGCTGACGACCTACCAGAAGCACCAACAACAAGGGCCTCCATTTGACATGGTCCAGTAAACTTTCGGTAGCAATCTGCTTTCAAGAGAACATGGAATTGACGTTGACACGCCATATCTCACTTCCGTCCAAACCCAAAAAGTATAAAGTTCGAAACGGAACTCAGGGAGTGAGACAAAGGGCTGATTTGGGCTAGGGTATCCTATGACATGTTAGATTTTATTTCTTATTGGGTGGTCCCTTTTAGGACGCCAAAGGCAAGCAAAGGGTCTGGAAAGAAAGGCCAATCTGATGGAACCATTGCTTTGAGTAGAACCTCGGCCCACCTCGGGGTCAACTAAAAATACACGCCCTTCGAAAAGGGAAGCCCACTCGAAGATAGGGGGAAACCATCCCGAAGCCAAACCGGATTTCCTTGGCCAAGTGGGCAGCCTGCGCGCCTTGTCCATGGTGACTTTGCTGCCAGGGTAGTGCCCAGCGATCTTTATGCGCTTGTTGCCTTTGAGCACATAGATCAAGGCATCCACCGTGTCCTCAAAAAAATAACCAAAAACAAGCCAAAGGTGTGCTGTGATGAGATGTCTTTTCTGCGGCTTACCAACCAGGGGAACCATCGGGCCAAAGGTGTTTTTGTGGCGATGTGTTCGTGGCTTGCGAGCCAAAGGGCTGGCAAATCTGATTCAGCTGAAAGATTTGCTGCAGGGCTTAAACCAAAGGGCTGATTCAAATCTGGTTCAACAATCGAGGCAAAGCTTGATTGACGTTGGAAGGGGAGCAACAATTAAAATTTCAGCAGTGCAGTGTTTGGAATTCTCAACCACTGAACCACAATTTACCCAAAAATGGGAAACATGTTTTCCAACAACAACCATGAAAGGGCTTAAACAGGGATCCTTCCATGAGAAACACCTGCACATTGCAACTCGTAAATGGTGGTTTCCAACTTTATTTTGGTGTTGAAAAAGCAACATGTAACTCAAATGGTGGCAATATGTCCTTCTCTCTTTTTTTTTTCTCGGAGCCCTGATATCGGCTGCTGAAAGATCCGGTTGAAAGCCGCAGGGAGCTCATCGGGTGGGGCCGGAGGAGACCCAGTGTTCGGTTCCGAATGAATATTCGGACCAGCTGTCCGGGTGCCGGTTTTAAAGGTTGGCGTGTTCTTTTTGCTTGCCTTGGAGCCAGGGTGCCCATTGAAGTTGTTGTTTTTGCTCGTCTTGGAGCCAGGTACACCAAACTTAATATGAAGTACTACAGAAAGGTATGAGACAACACAATCACCAGGCTTGGTGATTCTTTTTTGGACGGGTTGTTTTTGGAATCAACCGGTCGATTCGCTTTCAATTTATCAAAGTAGTGTTGTTCTTGTTATTAGTCAAACATGACTATTCGTATGAATGATTCCTCATCATTCTTGCATTTTATTTGCATAGTATTCTAATGTCATCCTGATTCTTAGTAAACACAACACCATTAACCCCCGCGAGAGATGCGAACACCGCCCCCCCCCAAAAAAAAAAATCCAACATCGCTGTAAGGGTTAGACATGTACAATTCACATACCACCCCTCCCGCATCCCTCCCGCATCCCCGCCCTCCGACGTCGACTCGACGCGAAACGCCGGGCTCTCCGTGTGCCAGCCATAGGAGCCCACCGAATCTCTGCCCACCCGGCTCGCATAGAAGTCCACCGAGCCAGCCTCAGGCATCCCACCACCCGGCTTTTGTTCGGACCACTTCTCTAGGCGTAACTCCCCATTCTTAACCCAGGGATCCGGAGAACTTTTCTACGGGAAGAAGTGTTGGAGGCTTTCTGGACACAGAAAGAAAGCGTAAGGAAAGAACTCATCTAGTAGTTTGAGGAGCGAGAAGTACCATGTCCCACCAGCGGGTTTCTAGGGGACGCTTCCCCATTCTTAACCCAGGGATCCGGATCTTTCTAGAAAAACCACCAAAAACCCTGGGGAAATGCCGGTTATTGAAAAGAACGATGACTAAAAATAATGGAATTGGAATCAACCCCTAGAACTTCGCGTGTCTTCGTTTACCTTGGTTCAACTTACTTCCTGAGTGGCCCACCTGAACATTGCAACTGAACATTGCAACTTGTAAATGGTGGCGTCCCTTTGTTTTGTTGAAAAAGCGCGTTTATTTTTTCCCCCCCCGGAGCCCTGCTAAAATGGTTCTCCAAAGGATCAAGTCCATGACCTCAGTAAGTCAAACCAAAGAATTGGTCGACGTTGGGTTTGGGGAGCAACAAACGAAAGATGTTATGTGGGAATTTCCCACTAAACCACAATTTACGCAAAAATGGGGAAAAATGGATTTCAACCACTAAACCACCATTTACGCAAAAAGATGGATGTGGAAAATGGATTTCCCAACAACATCTGGGAATCCGTGGCTTCAGAGATTTGCGCGAGGCAGGCATCGCGTGCATGGGAAGTTCAACGGCCTGTGGCATCCTCTTTGGGGGCGATGAGTTCCCTGTCAGCCTTTGGTTCTCCCAAGACTTGACCAACACTTGGACCTAAGCTTTTGCGTTTTGCGTTTTGCTAAATGATGCACACCCGTTTGGCGAAAAGATAGAAAGGTCAGCCTTTGGTCTGGCAATGAACATAGGGACCCATTGAAGGGGTGCTTTTTTTGTCAGCCTCCCTTTCAATCAGGCTCACACAGGGTACTTAACGGGGCAGGGTACTTGGTATGTACTTGGTAAGCCTGGTTATAACCCATGAACGGAGACTTCTAGCCATGGCTTGTGTGGGGAATAACCACGGTTACTACCCACTCGCCTGACGTACCATGCCACTTTAAGTAGAACCTTCCTCGGCGCCTTTCTGGTCTCAAAGACGAACCGGCCAACCGTGAGTCAAGTACACAACAACTGAAACATTTACCCTCCCACCGTTTTCGCCTGGAACCTGACGTTCGGCAGCCGGTCCATGTAAAAGAAAAATGGTCCAAACCAGGACTCCCCCAAACGTCCCAGCTTCTAATGGGTGGGAGGGTTTTCAAAGAGTGAGCTAAAGGACAAGGGTTCTCCGCTAGCCTCAGCCAAACAAAAAGAAGCTGACTGGATGTCCAGTCAAGCAGGGATCCTTATATTATACACCTGGACATTGCCTTGTAAATGGTGGCGTCCCTTTATTTTGGTGTTGAAAAAGCAACATGTTTCAAATGGTTGCAACATGATTTTCTTTTAAGGAGCCCTGTCAAGTGAGCGGCGTCCAAGGCCTGAAATTTGGTTCTATGGCGATCCCACCTTACGAGAGAGGGCAGGGGGGGCGGGACCCAATTCCATGTGTCTAGTTTTTCCCTCGGGGAAATGGGACCAAACCTTCAATGGGTCCCTATGTTCATTGCCAGACCAAAGGCTGACCTTTCTAACTTTTCGCCTTGGGTGTGCATCATTTTGCCTTACCATACCTGGAGATCTTCAGTCCCCAAAATTGGGGGGTGGGTTTTTTGGGCCTGGCCGGGGAGAACCAGCCGGGTAGAACCTATTACCATCTCACTTCCTGAGTGGAGTGGCCAAAAAGTCTGGACTCTTGGTTTACCACTAGAATGGTCCAAACCCAAAAAGCTACTAAAGTCCGGGAACTTAAACGGTCAATGGGGGGTTGCGGGGTCCCCGACGCCCTGTAGTTTCGACACTCCACCGTGCTACGCTGGATGCCCGAAATATTGCAATCAACAATTCGGGAACTCCCTGATCTACCGCAAGTTTCCTACGGTTTTGTGGGTGCGGTTGTTTACTTGCAAATATGTTTGTTAAAAGGGAATACCTGGTATTCTGAGTCTCATGTCCAAGCTTTTCCAAGCGACTTTGTGCTTTTTCACTCGTGACCGCTGATCTGGGTGGTTTCGAACCGGAATGTCCATCTTGGTTCGAATCCGTGACACATACGGGCTTGACAGGCTCTTCCCTACGTTTCCAACCTCAAAACATCGCCAAGTTCCAACCTCCTTAAGCGTAAAGGGTGTCAAACAGGTTTTTAAGCCGAGGAACGTCTGGGGACGTCTAGGCCTCACTTCCGCAGAGTGGATTGGCCAGCAAAAAGTGTTTTTTTGTTCAACACTAAAATGGTCCTCCCAAATCCAAAAAAAAAGAAGTCCGGAAACGGAACTAAAAAATCTACACTGTGTCTACCAATCTGGGTGAATTATCATATTTCACCAACCTGAAATAAGGTGGTTGGGGCAATATTCTCCACACAAACCGCCATTTAAGGTGAATTCGGTCGTGTGAGGTCGTTATAATTCAGCCAGACCAATAGAATCGTCCAAGTCCACAAAGTGGCTGTGGGTCAAAATTAAACCACCAGCAAATAATCCGCAGGTTTTGGTCCACATTTCCATTTACCAGGATTCATTTTGTGGTTACCCTATTGTTGACCCACATCCATGTGTCTGTGCTCAGTCTTTAGGCCACCTGACGTAGGTCCCGGTTCGCAGTGACATTCCAGGATGTTGGGACTGGCCTTCGAGAGATCCCAGTGTTAACATCTAGGTCCCAGCCAGGTGCCAACTATTTTTGACAACAGCCAAGTCTCTCAAGTCCGAAACCTCGAGCTCCGAATCCTCGGGCTGGGGTTCGGGCAACTTTGAGATGGCTGAAGAGCTGGGGCATCCAGTCGCGGACCGGCGACAAACCTGGCAGCTGAAAATCATCAGCTCAGGTTTCCCTCTGTGGATGGTTGCGAAATCCGTTCGCATTCGCACCACTTTAAAACCATGGTTGAAACCACCGTTTGTGGGTATTTACAGGGGAATCGAATCATTCTATGGTTCCTCAGATGATGCGAGATGGATTTCGTCCATCCACAGTGTATTGAACCGGGTCTAACACTTGGTATTCAAACCAAAACCGATCTGTATTAAACTGTGCGATCCCCAGAACCATGCTTCAAGAATTCAGAAGGCAGATATCCGCAGCTATTTGTGGCAAGGGGATCGTCCCTTACTAACCTTCATCTACCCGGGTTTTGATTGTAGCTCAGGTGACATCCCCAGCATGCGGCGCCCGACAACGCCTCACCTCAGAACTTGCGCGGAACCCTGCTAAACCTCATCGACCAATCCGGAGGAGTCCGCGGAAACCTGGGGAACCCTGGCAAATCTGAGACCCCAAAGCTTTCAGCCTGCGGAACCCTCGAAGCTTGCGCTTCGGAACCTTCCGAAGCGAACGGAACCACCCTCTTGAACTGCATACACCTGGCCTGCGCCAGAGCATTCCAGAACCGCCGGAACCATTGCAGACCATCCCTGAGGAACCAGAACATACCGCTTGGTGTTGGACCTTTCAGGGGTCCGTTGAAAGGATCGCCACTTTTGGAGCTTCCAAAAAGGGTTGCTTGCCTTTGGAATCGGCTTCCTTCAGTGCTTTGGAATCGGTTCGGCGTTCGGCGTCTTCCCAATTTTAGAAACCAATCTAAACCAAAGGGGGTGACCTAGAAGGAACCTGAGAATATTGAAGAGGTTGTGAAAAAACAACCACTTTTGTTTGGAAGGCAGTCGGATGTTTTGGAATTGGCGGTTTTACACCCTTTGCTCGGAATCAGTGTATACTGGGACAACCATTGGGCAAAACCACACCAAAAACACATTCCCTCTGTTGGTGCAAGGCATACTGATCGATCCCCATAGTAGCCATTGACTGAAATTGGGAGACATCATTTAGGTGGGGATGTATGTCCACCAATCGCTTGTGAGAAGTTCCCCATCAACATTCATAGTCATATGGGTGAGTACCCGCCCGCCCACTATCATGGAACCTGACTGGAGGCCCTTGGAGAACAAATGTCCTCTACAATGGAATTCCTGGGGGTTCCATGTCGGTAGATGGGAGGGTATACACTGGCATGGCTGCCCTCAAACAAAGACTCGCCCATGAATACACTGGTATTTGGGTCTGTCTCAAAATAAAAATCCCCTTTTGGATTTGCTTAAAGGAACCAAAAACAAGCCAACCAATTTTGGGGGACCAGATCCTATTTTGACACCCATTTCTTGTCAACCAGGTAGGACACCAAACTTCGCAAGTTTAACTTTCCTTGCGGGATGAGAAATGGAATGAGCCCAAGAAAAACCATCCAACTGGTGGCTTGCTTTAATCGGGGGGTCCCTTCCGGTCCATTCAAAACACATTCCCTACTGATCGCACTGATCGCAAGTCATGAGCCAAAGACTTCCATTTGCTTAAGCCCCGGGAAAAAAAACCCTCTTGTAGTGATTTCCCAAACAAAACAAGCTTTCTCCAAAGGAGAACCGCCGCGTCCCGCGTTCCGAACCGAACCTCGGAGGTTGCATAGTTTTTATTGTTTTTAGTTTTTGTTTCTTCCGAGGAGCGCTGCATCTGCTCCACTGCAAAGGCTCGGCCCGGCGGCACGTGCATGCCCGTCCAGTGGCCTGAGGCTCCCGAATGGACTGGACTGCTCCGTTCTCTGATCCTAAAGGTCAGAAAAGCTTTGGTGGACGAAAATGGACACCCCTGCTAGAAGCTCAGCTTCTAGTTGGTCAAATTCGGAAACCCAAACACCCAACCAACACAAAACTAAAAGCCTGCGGACGCTGGGAAGGGCCAAGTTGAGACAAGCCCAGAAGGATTCCAGCAAATGAGAACCAAATTGAAACCAATGACTAGCTGTCGCAAAAATAGAAAAGCCAACACATTGTGCTTTGCTTTTCAAAGGTGCCCTCAAAAACCGACACACCCGTCGATTTGTCCAAGACAAAAAAGACACCCGTGGAATCAGAAGGCACGGGTAGTGGGATTTGATTTTGGCAGCACAGCGACAACCCCCCCCGGATTTTAAACAGGGCCTGGAATAAAGAAAAGAGATTCTCGTCCAGCTGTTGTGTGGAAACAATCGGAAATCCGCCCATGTGTTGCCAACGTTCTGCATTCACGGTTTTTCTTGGGGGGGGGTGAAATTTCATATTAAAACCATGACCTAAGGGGAGCAGAACGTTCCACTTACTTTGAAGTATCCAGGGTTTCCGCAACACTCGGTGTTACCTTTCAGGGATCAGGACTTTCTGGAAAGAGGGCCGTATTAAACAAGTGGCGTTCACTACCTGCAAATTTGGTAGTGCGTCTCATGTTGGACTCCGCATGGTCTGTTCCTCAACCCTCAATCAACGGCAACAGCACTGCGGTTTGCAAATCTGTTCAGAGCCTTCTACAATTGAATTGAGGCAATCCCACCCCTCGCGTCTGAGGCCCAATGGCCTTGACTCGGAAGTGGTGCCCGAGGCTTAGGTACGACCCCAACTGCTCAAGTACAACCCGAACTCCTTTAACTCGAGCAGTTCAGTGGTGGCTGGGGGTGGTGGCCAAACCTTAAGTGCAACTTTAGACCTTGAGTACAACCCAAGACAATCCTTAAGCACAACCAAAACAAACTCCCACACATGGTCTTGCATTTGCTCAAGCCCCCGGGAAAAGAAAAACAAGAACAAAGAACAACATATGGCCAGCAGTGATAGTTCCCTTTCAAACCAACAGTTGTTTGTTCTTTTTGAACAGCAGACTTGAGCAAATGGACTTGAGACAATTCAGACTTCCCTCTCATTGGTGGTTTGGAGCTCGGTGGCTTGGTGGTTTAGGGGGGTTCCCATCTGCCCTCCACAATAACCAGAAGTTCAAATCCACAAACCAATCAGAACCACCAACGAAGGGGTTACCTGAACAAAACCTGATTCTTCATTCTTTTGCTTTTGCGTCCCCTGGACCACAAAACGCAGCACCTCATCGTTTTCCCCCAAAAAAAACTTCAGCAGAGGGGAACGCTAAACCCAATGAACAACCCCATGGTCAAATTCTGGGCGAGTCACGCGCGGTGAGCACCTCCGGCTGGCGCTTGCTGCCGTCCGGCATGGTCTGGTTGTATGGCCGCCTGGGTTGTCAACAAATGGGCGAAGAACTCGCTCCGTCACACGTGTGCGTGCGTGCGTGCGTGCGTGCGTGCGTGCGTGCGTGCGTGCGTGCGTGCGTGCGTGCGTGCGTGCGTGCGTGCGTGCGTGCGTGCGTGCGTGCGTGCGTGCGTGCGCGTGCGTGCGTGCGTGCGTGCGTGCGTGCGTGCGTGCGTGCGTGCGTGCGTGCGTGCGTGCGTGCGTGCGTGCGTGCGTGCGTGCGTGCGTGCGTGCGTGCGTGCGTGCGTGCGTGCGTGCGTGCGTGCGTGCGTGCGTGCGTGCGTGCGTGCGTGCGTGCGTGCGTGCGTGCGTGCGTGCGTGCGTGCGTGCGTGCGTGCGTGCGTGCGTGCGTGCGTGCGTGCGTGCGTGCGTGCGTGCGTGCGTGCGTGCGTGCGTGCGTGCGTGCGTGCGTGCGTGCGTGCGTGCGTGCGTGCGTGCGTGCGTGCGTGCGTGCGTGCGTGCGTGCGTGCGTGCGTGCGTGCGTGCGTGCGTGCGTGCGTGCGTGCGTGCGTGCGTGCGTGCGTGCGTGCGTGCGTGCGTGCGTGCGTGGGTGGGTGCGTGCGTGCGTGCGTGCGTGCGTGCGTGCGTGCGTGCGTGCGTGCGTGCGTGCGTGCGTGCGTGCGTGCGTGCGTGCGTGCGTGCGTGCGTGCGTGCGTGCGTGCGTGCGTGCGTGCGTGCGTGCGTGCGTGCGTGCGTGCGTGCGTGCGTGCGTGCGTGCGTGCGTGCGTGCGTGCGTGCGTGCGTGCGTGCGTGCGTGCGGGCGTGCGTGCGTGCGTGCGTGCGTGCGTGCGGGCGTGCGTGCGTGCGTGCGTGCGTGCGTGCGTGCGTGCGTGCGTGCGTGCGTGCGTGCGTGCGTGCGTGCGTGCGTGCGTGCGTGCGTGCGTGCGTGCGTGCGTGCGTGCGTGCGTGCGTGCGTGCGTGCGTGCGTGCGAGCGGGCGGGCGGGCGGGCGGGCG